TATGCCCAAAGTACAAGATGGAGTTTCATTATCCATAAACAACAATAAAAGGAGAAGAACTTTTTGAGTTTATAAACTAGTATTATGGGTCAGAAAAGAAACTAGAAATTAAAAACACAGAGAACAAAAAAGAATAATTACAACACATATTTTAAAACATGATGGGTGAAGTCATAGCTGTACATAGAGGAAAATTAATAGCTTAAAGTAATTATCTAGAAAAGAGGAAAAGCTGGCAATTCAATCTAAGCATTCAATTTAAACTGGAAGGAGCACACCAAATTTTTTTAAACCAATAAACACTTAAAATACAGTAATTAATAAAGAGAAGAGATTAAGGTGCGCTCTGGTGGCCTAGTGGCAAGAAGCTGCACTGCAATATCAGAGGTGCACGGTTCTAATCCACCAGATGCTCTGCTGGAGAAGGAGGAACAATCTCCTCCTGTACCAGTCAGATCTGATTGACAGTACACACAAAAAATAATGACATAAAATTTAAAAAAAAATAAAGAGGAGAAATTAATGAAATGGGGGGAAGGCCACAGTTTCTTTGAGGCAATGATAAAACAGACATTCTTGGGGTGAGGCTGCCTCAGCAGGGGGGACAAAAGGATGCAAAATCCAGCTGCCACTGCATCAGCTCTGATTCATGGCAACCCCACATACATCAGAGTAGATCTGTACTCCATAGGGTCTTCAGAGGCTGACTTTTCAGAAGTCGTTTGTCAGAACTTTTTTCTGAGGTGCCTCTGGGAAGACTCAAATCCTCAACTTTTCAGTTGGCAGTTAAGTATGCTATTTGCAGGTAAAATAATGTTTGAAATAAGTGCAGTACAAAGGTCAGATCTTTCATTAGGGCTCATGGCAAACTGAACACTCAGCCCACCTTACAAACTGAGTCTGCTCAAATTCTTTCTTGGTATCTACACAGTTTAACTGTAGATTTGATAACTGGTCAGGGGCTGGGGCGACGCCTATGGCTCATGAACATGTCTTTCTACTTGGATGGATTTGCAGATGGAGGAGAGACTCAAGAAGCTTACAGACATCCCTGGGAACAAATCAGCCACCACTCCCTTCGGTAGGGCAGCTATCTGCCTCAAGTAGCCTTTCCTTTAACGCTGGGAGAAAAAATATCTGGGAAAGGAAAACAAGAGTGACTGGGTCTGTTCTTAAAGGTGTCCGAAAGCCTCATTTCTCGTGGGAACTGGAAAGAGGCTCATTTAATGTGTCTTCCACTTATGATACACTATCAACTTGTCAAAGCCCCGACATCACTTCTAAAAACTATTTCCCTGGACAAGTTGAGATTTCTAAACTGTTGAAGTACTTGGGGGCAGAGATGATTCACCTCTCTATATTATAACCTGTTTGAGTCTTTCCCCAGTGTCTGACGACTCTGAATCAGGAGAGGCTACACTGAGGAAGGGAAATCAGGGAAAATGCCATTGCCTTGGAAGGAGACAGCAAATTAAAAGCACGTGGGACACTGGATGGACGCCACAAAGCCATTCCCACTCAGGGTCAAAGCAAGCTATTTGGGATCAAAAGCTCTCCGATATGTGTGACAAGCTTGTTTGTGAAGCTGGCACCCGGACATCATGACACTGTTTCTGGATGACTTTGTGGTTGGTTTTTTGTTTTTTTTCTTTTGAGAGTGTCTTATTGGTTGATTTGTTTGGAGGGGGTTAAGAAAAGAAGTCCTAGAGCAAGATTGCCAACTGATGGGAACCAGGCAGCAAACATGAGTAAATTAGGAAAGTTCCGTGGCAGAGTGGTTAGCACATCTGCCTCACACACAGCAGCTCCTGGGTTTGAACCAGGTGGAGCCAGAGTTTCTTGAGCTCTGGTGGTCTAGTGGATAAGGCAGTGCGCTGCCAATCCTAATCAAGCAGTCTGGATACACTTCAAGGGAGAAAGGCAAACAATCTCCTCCAAACGCTCTCCCTTGACCTTTAATGTTGCTAATTTACATTCATTTTGAAACAAATGAACCGACCCCTACTGGCAACAAATTTCTCATCATAGTCACTTGCACTAGGCGCACCTGCAGATTTAAAAATTACTAAAAAGGCATTCCCTTTACTGAAACCCCAACCAAGCCCACTGACATCTAGTAATAGACAACCTCATAGTGATGCTGCCATCAGAGTAGAACAGCCCCATAGGATATTCCCTGATGACTTTTGGTCATAGTTCTGAGCACACTAAGTGGTCAGCCATGACATCAGTGAGGACACCGATGGCCTCTGTAAGGCTAGGAAAGGCTTAGCCCAACTACTTAATTCACAGATTAGAATGCCAATTTCATTGGGGACCATTCCAGAACCCAGGTTTCTGACTTCCCATCAGGCTACCCTATCTTTCAGGAGCTCCCAACTCTCATCAGACCACCTGAGCCTCCATGACATAACCTCAGAATGTTCAGTTTTTAAAGGATCTGTCTCAGGATCACAAAAAAGTGGGGGTGGAGCGACTCAAGGGAACAACAGAACCACACAGCCTTCTTACTGGAGACCAGAAGAACCGGATGGTGCCTGGATGCCACTACCTGGGTCTCTGACCTGGGTCACCACAGAAAGTCCAGACAGAGAGGGAGAGGGAGAGGGAGGGGGGAAAATACACAACAAAATAAGAAAAAGGACCAGGTTTACTGGTCTGGTTGGGAGTAGACCACGGGGCTATGATCCTCAGGCAGCCTTCAAGTCTAGAACTGAATCCATTCTTAGGGATCAGCTTCGGGCCAAACAACAGACAGGTAGAGAAGCGAGTACCACCACCAGGGAGAAAGGGACTCCCCAGGACAATCAACCCTATGAGACCAACAGGGCAAAATTTACCCTAAATCAAAACTTGGGAGACATGACAGGGCATGGAAGAAGGAAGGATGGAAACAGGAGCCCAGTGAGAATGTGGGATGTGTGTTTGTGTGTTGTTACGTTGAAAGGATTGCAACTAATGTTGGTAAACAAATGGCAACCAATGTTGGTAAACAAGTGTCTGTACATTGTTGACTGGAAAACTAGTATGCTCTGTACATTTCGCCCGAACTATAATAAAGCGTCTTCTGGACATTGACCTGCAGCTTTGTCTGCCTGCTTTGAGAAGGTCATCCATTCTCCCTCATGAGAAGGGCATTTAGGCTCACGTTCATACAGCAAACAGCACTCAAATGCATATGCATTTTTCTTTTTTAAGTCTCGTTTCATTCTTCATTCAAGGTTTCCGAAATAGAGTGTCTATTCCCCAAGTTCACCTGGGAGTGAGCACTAGCGGCCCTGCTGAGTGGAGCAGACAGAGCCACCTGCAGAGGGAACCCTGGGGAAGGGCACTGATCCAGCTCACCTGTGAAATCTCCAACAGTCCACCCACCACCGTTTATAGGGCAGTCGTCAGTATTACCCATGGAGGAGGGGACAGCCAACAGCCCAAAGACGTACTCGATGTCCTTGAGGCCACCAAGTTATTTTAGCCTACAGTGCTTAGTTTCAGGTCAGGTCCTAAAGCCACAGTCCATCACCCACACATGGCACCAGACAATGTCACGGCAACTCAGTGATCGGAGACCCAACTCAAGAGGGATGAAGGCACCAGACCCAATAACCCAGTGAGTGGTGGGAGAAAAATCGCCCCAAAATTCCAATGCAGTGTTTGGTGGGGCAGCCCTGGGAATATACTCCTGGAAGATCTCGGAAACCAGCTGCACTCATCAGAGACACATGGGCTCACCATGAGGAGAAGCCCAGCAGTAGTAGCTGGTGGACAGTCCAAGGCCTTGCCGTTCCTCAGGCCGGTGCTTTCAAGGCATGGGGTGGTGGTGGTGGTGGTGTCAGGTGCCATCGAGTCCAGGAGTCTTAACGACCCTGTGAACAACAGATCTGAACCCTGTCCTGTCCTCACCGCCTTTGACACACTCCAGCCCATTGCTGCATCCACCTGGTCGGAGGTCTTGCTCTTCTTTCCCCGCCCCCCCCCCACCTTTCCAGGCATGTGGGTAGGACAGTAAGAGCTCCTTTTTCTTGAATCATTGACCTGACGAGATTCAAGAGCCTTTAAAATACTGACCTGAGCTCTGACTGAAGTCCACTGAACTGATTCATCTCTGTAGACCCTATTCCTCAGAATCTGTTTCTGAGCAAATCACTTGGTAATTATGTTCTATGGTAGGAACTCAACCACACCCATCAAGGTTTAGGAAGAGTGCTGGCTCGCCAGAGGTGACCAGGGCCCACAGCACCCCAAGTGTACTGCTTGCCCAGACATCCAGCAAGGGGTGAGGATCTCCTCACCTGCCCCAAATACCCACCACCTGAAAACAGGGGCCCTTTCTGTAAGGGTGGGTGGGTCCACTTGTAACCAGATCAGCCGAGTCCCTGAGATTTCTCAGGAGGAGTTTTAAAAAAGGAAAGAAACTCGCATCCCAAACCACAGCTTTCCCAACTTCCCTCAAATGCTGCTCTTTGTCCCAAAGCAGTTTCACCAAAGTCACCCTCTGGGGAGAGCCCCGACCTTTGTCCCGTGCACTCTGGCTCATTCACTTCGGCAACGGAAAAAAATCGTGCCGCCTTCACAGACTGGGTTCTTCTTCTCTTTGCGGGTTTTCTCATGGATGGGCCCAGCCCTCTGGGTTCTTGTCAACGCTCCTACCATCATCCTTCCAAGTTCCAACCTGCGCCCAGACCCACTCCAGAGAGAGGAACAGCGCTGGGCGTTTGAGTTGAGTCCCCGGAAAGGGATGTGCGAAGCAGCTCTGAACCTGGAATCTTTAATAGGATGGGCTCACACCTGAAACCAAGCATCTCTGTCTTTAAGACACCAGCATTCCAAAAAAAAAAAGGAAGGAGTTCTCCAGGCATTTCCAACGCCGCACTCAGGACTGTGGGATTCACGCTGGAGGTCCCCAAGGTGTCCAGCAGGTCCCTCTCTCCACAGTCCTCCCCAGGTGGCCCTTCTCGCCCCTCCCAGGCTGGAGGGCCGCCGCCCCCCCGCCCCCGCCTTACCTCGCTGATGATGGTAGAGTGGGACTGCGCATAGCGCCAGCCGCCTCGACAGGGCACCACGGGCGCTGAGCGGTTGGGGAAGGCGGCCAGCGGGTCGGTGCAGCTGAGCGCCCCGGGCGCGGGGCCGGCGCTGGCATTGGCCGCCTCCAGCAGGTAGCGCTCACAGCGGCCGTCGCCGGGGCGCTCTGGGGGCGCGGGCCCGGGGCGCACGGGCGCCGTGCGGTTCCACTCTTCCTCCGCGCTCCAGCCGCAGCGCTCAGCCAGGGCAGCAGCGCTCGGCCCGCGGCACCAGTAGTGGTCGGGTCGGGGCCCCAGGAAGACCACGCTGACGAAGAGGAAGGCGAAGGTGACGCCCGTGAGGCAGAGAAGCAGGAACACGCGCCGCTGGAAGTGGCCGAACTCGCCGGCCTGCTGCAGCGCCTCGTCGAACGACGGCATGGTGGCCCGCGCGCTCCCCGGCGAGCAGACCCCGCCGAGCGCACCCCGCCGAGTGGCCGCCGCCGAGCGCTCCGCCCGCCTCCTGCCCCACCTACCTCCGCCGGGCGCCGCGCCAGC